GATAGTTACAGAGGAAATGACTTTTTGATTAATTAAGTTTGTTAGCGCAGCTGAGCTCAGCAAACTTTAACCTCAGACCAGGGAAGAGAGAGGGACCAACCACTGGGAGGACCAGGAGATATAGAAGACCAGATAACATAGATATAAATATATACCAGTGATACTCATTCGCTGAGTGGATGAATGAATGAATGAATGAATGAATGAATGAATGAATGAATTAATGAATATATAATCAGATAAATGAATGGATGAATGAAAAATCTGATAGATGGATGGATGGATGCATGGATGGATTGATGGATGGATAGATAAATTTTATATCATAATTAATGATTATTGATTGGTTAAATGATTGAGTGAATGAGTGAGTGAATGAGTGAGTGAATGAATGAATGAACAAATTAGTTAGTAAATTTATGAATAAGTGATTTGTTTATTTAATTAATGATTGATTAAATGACTGAGTGAATAAATGACTGATTGAATAAGCAGATGAAATGAATGAATAAATTAATGGATGATTGAGTGAATTAATTATTGGATGAATGAGTGAACTAATGAGTGTTTGAGTTAGTGATTGAATGAATGAATGAATGAATGAATGAATGAATGAATGAATGAATGAATGAATGAGTGAATGAGTGAGTGAGAGTGAGTTAATGAGTGAAGGAAATAATGAATGAGTGAATGGTTGATTAAATGAGTGAGTAAATGATGTAAATGAATGGATTAATGAGTGAATGAGTGAGTGAATTAATGAGTGAGTCAATTAATGAATTAATGAGTTTATTAAAAGTGAATGAGGTAATTGATGAGTGAATGAATAAGTGAATGGTTGATTAAATTAGTGAATGAATGACTAAATGGTTGATTACATTAGTGAGTGAATGAAAAAATTAGTGAATGGTTGATTAAATTAGTGAGTGAAGAGTGAATAAATGAATGAGTGAGTGAGTGAGTGAGAGAGTGAGTTGACTGAATTAATTAATTAATGAGAGAGTAAGTGAATGAATTAATAAATAAATGAGTGAATTAATAAATGAGTGAATGATTGATTCAATTAGTTAATGAAAGGTGAGTGAATGAGTCTATGATTGAATGAATGAGTGAATTAATGAGTGAGTGAACGAATGAATAAACGAATTAATGAACGAACGAATGAATGAATGAATGACTTTGCTCTATAAGTGCATGTGTTGTGTCTGCAGGCTATGCTGGATGTGGTGGCGAATGAAGGCTGGCTTGTGTCCGCGCTGAGTCTCTGTAATCTGGTCCAGATGATCATCCAGGCCCGATGGCTGCACGATTCCTCCCTGCTCACACTCCCTCACATCCAGAAGCAGGAGCTCTATGTCTTCAGGTACTTTTTTACTTTTACCTCCTTATATCATTGTACTCAATCACATTGATCTTACTTTTTATTAAACATAAACACCGTGATGTAATTCCAAATATTGAAACTATGGCTTCATGTGCTATATAAATATTTAATGTGTCAGGGAGACTTTATATATCAGCTGCCAGAAAGCTTTAATTTTGAACCAGACCAAAACATATTAGACACAGCTGGCTCAACATTACTCCGGTCACAGTGAGGGTCTATATTTGGTTTCAGTTTCAGAACATTTTAATAGTCGATGAATGAATGAATGATGGAATGATTGAATGAGTGAGTGAGTGAATGAATGAATTAACTGATTAATGATTGAATGATTATGTGAATGAATGAGTGAATGAATGAGTGAATTGATGAGTGAGTGAGTGAGTGAGTGAGTGAGTGAGTGAGTGAGTAAATGAATGAGTGAATGGTTGATAAAATTAGTGAGTGGATGAATAAATGGTCAGATGAATGAATGAATGGATTCAGTTATTAATTAATATTTGATTGAATGAATGAATGAATAAATAATTGCATGAATATATTAATTAATGATTGAATGATTATGTGAATGAACAAGCTAATTAATGAGTGAATAAGTGAGTAAGTGGGTGAGTGAGTAAATGAATGAGTGAATTGTTGATTAAATTAGTGAGTAAATTAATGATTGATTGATAGAATGAATGGATTAATTTATTAATTAATGATTGATTGATTGATTGATTGAATGAATAATTGAATTATTAAATGATTATGTGAAAAAATGAGTAAATGAATGAGCGAATTGATGAGTGAGTGAGTAATTGAATGAGTGAATAGTTGATTAAATTAGTGAGTGAATGAATGAAAGATCAGATGGATGAATGAATGAATGAATGAATGGATTAATTTATTAAGGATTGATTGAATAAATGAGTGAGTAAATAATTGAATGATTGAATGAATAAATAAGTAATTTGGTTGATTAAAATAGTAAGTGAATGAATGAATGATCAGATGAATGAATGAATGAATAGATTAATTTATTAATTAATGATTGATTGATTGATTGATTGAGTAAATAATTGATTGAATGAATAAATGAATGAATTAATGAATGAATGAATGAATGAATGAATGAATGACTTATTGAGTAAATGTATGGATGAGTGATCGGATGATTTAATTTATAATTGAATGAATGAATGAGTGAGGTTCTATATAAGTATTCAATGTGTCAGGGAGGAATTTGAATATCAGCTGCCAGAAATCCATAAAGTTTAAACCAGACTAAAACATCTGAGGCACAGCTGGCTCAACATCACACCGGTCACAGTGAGGGTCTAAATTTGGTTTCAGCTTGGTGAGTTTCAAAACATTTTAATAATATTTTGGTGGAATGAACAAAAAAGATTGGTTCATCTCACACTCAAAGGTCTGAGTCAGTAAAATGATCCAACTTTCGCATCCCTTTGAGCTGCAGTGAAGCGGGTCCCGCAGGTGTGTGGCCTCCATTCTTCAGCTCTTCCCTCCACATTGTTTTGCTTCACAGATTGTGCGTTTGCCACCCAGTCTTATCCATACAACATCAATCAAATGGAGATAACTGCTGCATACATGATGAGAATAGTGCTTAGGCAACTTTTAGTTGTAATAAAATGGCATAACACTGCTGTTTTAGAGAGAGAGAAGAACACATTTCCAAGTATAATAGTTTAATTAACTAATTTATTTGAACTCTACCATGATAACAGTGCTTAATATTAGACTAGAGGTTTTTCAAGATACTGGTGTTCAGCTTAAAGTGACATTTAAAGACCTGAACTAGGTTAATTAAATCATGACAATAATATTATTAGTAAGTAACCAATAATAATTAAATAAAGAATAATATTGAATTTAAAGTGGCTTTAAAATATAAAAACTGCTTTCATTCTAGCCGAAATAAAGCAAATAAGACTTAAAAAAACAACTACAGGAAATACTGTAGGAAAATTCCTTCATTAAATGTCACTTGGGAAATATTTGAGAGAAAAAATACATATTTTAAAGGAGGGCTAATACTATATATATATAGTTGCTACTTAGATAACTATATAAAGTCATAGGTATTGTCGTGCAATCGTGTCTCCTGTCTTTATTTTGCACATCAGCCGTATTGACTCTTTGGAGCGCTCTTTTCCTCTGTCTGTATCCCAGCCTGTGGCCACAGAGAGAAGCGAGTGTTCACTTCCCGTCCGCCGTGTTAAAGGGCTGCTGCGCTCCTCACCTGTGGCTCGCTGATTATCAGAGTGTAACGTGGCTTATCGGCTAATCCCGCCGCCGTCTCTTATCTAACTCCGCAAACACCATCAGCATGGCTTATCAGCGGGAACGGCTCCAAACGCAGCGCTCCTCACACAGGCACACGCTAACATCATTGCCATTGGATTTTCTGGGGCCTGTAACACATTTCACCGCGTCCTGCCGCGACTGTAATTTGGTGGAAACACAATAAAAATGGTAAGAGAGGGATCAGAGCCAGGCGGGATCCATCATGCTGTGACAGCGGGAAACAGAAGCGCAGCTCAGCCAACTCGTACCTGATTGAAGACAGCGTCATGTGACCGTCTTTTCCCTCACAGGAGGTGGAGCACTGGAGGAATTGGTTTACTAAATAGGAGTTATGAGATATAGTGAAAAATGTACTCGTCATATTTCAATATGTATAAAGGAGCTGTCTGTGTTCTTCATTATTTTTAACAATTAATTTACCTTCATGAACTTTAATTAAACATTATAACATACCAGCCCCCTTGACTGACTTTCTTCACTTTCTGGATACATGGAACTCCTTTAGGGCGGAGCTATCAGTCCTTTAGGGCGGAGCTATCAGTCATTTAGGGTGGAGCTATCAGTCATTTAGGGTGGAGCTATCAGTCATTTAGGACAGAGCTATCAGTAATTTACGGCAGAGCTATCAGTCATTTAGGGCGGAGCTATCAATCATTTAGGTGTGGCTATCATACTTTTAAGGGTGGAGTTATCAGTCATTTAGGGTGAAGCTATCAGTCATTTGGGGCGGAGCTATCAGTCATTTAGGGTGGAGCTATCAGTCATTTAAGGTGGAGCTACCAGTCATTTAGAGTGGAGCAATCAGTAATTTAGGGCGGAGCTATCAGTCATTTGGGGCGGAGCTATCAGTCATTTAGGGTGGAGCTATCAGTCGTTCACGGCGGAGCTATCAGTCATTTAGAGTGGAACTATCAGTAATTTAGGGCGGAGCTATCAGTCATTTGGGGCAGAGCTATCAGTCATTTAGGGTGGAGCTATCAGTCATTTGGGGCGGGGCTATCAGTCATTTAGGGTGGAGCTATCAGTCGTTTACAGTGGAGCTATCAGTCATTTAGAGTGGAGCTATCAGTAATTTACGGCGGAGCTATCAGTAATTTGGGCGGAGCTATCAGTCATTTGGGGCGGAGCTATCAGTCATTTAGGGTGGAGCTATCAGTCATTTGGGGCGGAGCTATCAGTCATTTAGGGCGGAGCTATCAGTCATTTGGGGCGGAGCTATCAGTCATTTAGGGTGGAGCTATCAGTCATTTGGGGCGGAGCTATCAGTCCTTTAGGCGAAGCTATCATACTTTTAAGGGTGGAGTTA